ATTGGACCAGATAAACTGATTTGTTTTTACTCTTGAGGTCGTTTGAGGATCTGTTCCTCAGGGGTCCCATGGGCTTGGGAGGAGCCCCTGCTCCTTTCTTTTACCAGTTCCATCTATGTGAAGATAAGTCAAAGGTCCTGCTCGACCATTGTTGGCTTCTCTTGGAAGCATGGAGGAAATGATTCCTCCGTGTTGACCCTCCTCTTTATAGACTGGACACTGGTTTAAGTCCATCTGGTGGGGTCTCCTTGGCCTCCTTGATCAAGAGATCAGATGACTCACCACCGTTACACGACATTTTGCGAGATGCTCATGGTCCCTGGGAACTAATCGACCTAGGAGGGCAGGGAGCAAAAAGTGTCGTTTGTATCCCTCTGACCCAATTAGTATAGATCTCAGGGTATGTCTGTTAAACATCCAAGAAGGTTAGTTCCACCATTCTGGCATTTAAGAGGAACATTTTTTAATGAAACTATTGTTCCATAAAACATGGAACATAAACCTGCACTAAATGAATCAATATGACTGTAGAGAGCTGCTAATAACATATACCTTGCATATACTACAGCTTACACATAAGATGTGCAACTGGATAGAAACTGGATACACCCTCAATGGTTCAGAGAAGACAGCCTTGCGAAGAAACTGAGTTCTACTGGCAATGCAAAGCACAACTTCATTTGGGTATTTTATATTCTGGAGCTGTCACAGCACTAGCCACATAGGGAATCGTGTTACAAATGCAAGCATCTTTGACCTTCGAACCTGATGAAAGAATGACCAGGGGAAGGTAGCTGCTGTTTCCTTCATATACCATGAAGTAGATTCATACACCATGTGGTAGGATGAAATTAGACACCAGAGAATCAGACTGTGTATCCCACAGTAAGTACATTTACTACTGTAATTCTAATGAGAAAGGAATTTTTCTATCAAGTTAAAATATAGGAAATTTTTAAAATGTGTTAAAATATGGGGACTGGAGAGATGGCTCGGCGGCTAAGAGCACTCACTGTTCTTGTAGAGGACCTGGGTTTGAATCCCAGCATCCACAAAACAGCTAACAACTGTCTGTAACTTCAGTTCCAGGGGATCCGACGCCCTCTTCTGACCTCTGTTGGCATTGCACGACATGGGTGCACTTACACACATGCAGCAATATATTCATAACATAAAATAAAAATATTTTAAATGGGTCAAAATTTACAAGTTCAAACAGAAGAGGCCTCAAAATGAAAACATGGTAATATAAAAAATGGGGAGGGGGAATCTCTTGCTCTGTATTTTGTCTTTCCTTTTAGAAGTAGTCATGGAAACTAACATTTATATTATAAATATGTATTTAAGAAAGATGGCTTCTTAAAGCCCTGATTTCTGCTGCTGAGCTGATGACTTCAGGAGCCCAGTCTGTACTGTGTTCTCTGTGGAAAATCCACAAATAAGAGGCAGTGGAGCCTAGCAACAGCCCAGCTGGAGAAGAGCTGGTCCCGCTGCTCCAGAGCTAGTGTTAGCAGCCCGGCAGCCAGGCTGTTGGCAGGTTCCTTTGCAAGATGAATATGCCAGCTCCTCTCATCGTAATTGCTTTAAAGTGCTCATTTTTTTTCCAAAGGGTAAAAATGTCATTTAAAACCTGAACTCAATGTGGAAAAATATTGGCTTACAAGAAAAGATCTAGGATGGATGGGATTTGAACCATTAAATTCTTAACAACTAAGATTGGTCAAATAACTCAAATGAATACCATAGGTCATGTTTCACCCGATGGTATTTAAAATGTTTTGAGTTAGGATGTACTATTGCATCACAGCCTATCATAAACTCTACTTTCATAAACAAGAATAAAAGTGTTATGAAGGCTGTCGTGGTCATCTCTCCTTCCAATTAATTTCCACACAACTTCACTCTGTAATACATGTTCCAGTAAGCACTAAGGAAGCAACAAAGAGAGAACTATGTGGTAAAACAAGTCGCTGCCATTAAATTATCTTCTCAAAAGCCAGAATAATGTTCTCAAGACCAACTTTAAAATCCTACTGCGAGTAAAGTATCCTTTCTTAAATTTTCCTCAAGATTTTTTGAGTCATATTAGATATATTATGTACTATAGCTATGATACTCAGATCCATACCTATTAATAAGTTACAATCATTTATCAATTTGCATAATTTTAATATAAACCAGTGTTTCATTAGTATTTCATTATAAAATCCTAATGCCTTTAATCCTTTTTAAAGCAGTTTCATTTTTCACTTTTATGTGTATGTGTCTGTATGAGTATATGTCACATGTGTGGGGTGCCCATAGTGGCCAGAAAAGAGTATTTAATCTCTTGGAGGTAGAGGTACAGGCAGTTATGAGCTGCCCAATGTGGGTGCTAGGAACCCAACTCTGGCCTCTAGAAGAGCAGCAAGCTCTCTTACCCACTGAACCATCTCTCCAGCTCCAACTTTAATCTTCAGTCTACTTTTTGCCCTTTCCTTTCAGGGAATATTTTGATTTGGGTTTTATTATAGTTATTTTCAACACAAGAAGACTATTTCTAATCAATTACAAGACTAGCTGTTGGTCTCTATTTCTTCAGATAAAGAGATAATATTTTTGTTCAGCAGGGGTCTAAACCATTCATAGACTTGCATTTATACCAGAGAAGCAAACATAATTGGTTGAAATGAGACTGATTATCAAGTCATATCTGTGTCATATCTGCACTTGTAGAGAAATAAATAACTCTTGCTAAGTTATCATGGAGAATTGTTTACGCTATTTAGTTTCCTGTCAGTCCTGGGATGGATTTACTCTTATCAGCTTCATAGAGAGAAAGAACATTGTTTCCCAGAGGTTAGGTAGCTTGCCTGAGGTTACAGTTTCGTGAAAGTAGAATTGAAACACAGCTATAAAGGGATGTCTCTAGAGTATAAGCAACAGAAAAAAAAAACTATTTGAAAAAAATTATATCCTATCTTTGAAAATTAGCTAACAAATGTTATATAACCCAACATTGTTCAAAGCAATAGTTGAGTTCAATAACTTTTCCACAGAAAATTCTTCTGAAAGCAGTGCACATTATATCTGAAGCTATTTGAGGTTCTGACATTTTCTGTACATAAAAGAAAGGAACAAATTATTCATAAGCCAGTTGTATTTTCTTACCTTATGTACATGCCTTTGGTGGGCTGCTTGGATGATTATGTGATATACAACCAAGTAGTGTAAAAATTAGTCAGTTACCTGGGAATAATGCTCTAAGTAAGAATATGAGAGAGATACTGTATAAAAACATTAGATGATGATTCTACCCCACCTCCATTTATTTTAATTAACACATAATAATTGTACATATGAATGGGGTACAGTGTGATTATGATTATTCAGAATATGCATATGATGTATAACAATCATTTCAGAGAAATTGGCATTTAAACTTCTTAAATACATGATTTCATTGTGTGGGGATCCTTTGAGCTCCTCTAGCCTAGTTCTTTAAAAAATACATAGTAAATTGACCCCCATGCTTTAATTTTCAAGAAATCCAATTTTAATGTGTTCCCAGCCTTGTTCCTTAGGCCCTCAGGTCAACACTCCTCTGATGGCATCCATCCTCTTGACTCTACATTCACACACACACAGAGACACACACATCTGATGTGAGCCTTTTATTCTGTAAGTAATACCAAATCACTCACTGCCTTGTGCAAGCAGGATGTTGCTGTTCCACAGTAAAGGGACAGATTCCTCCAGGTGGAGTATGGAAAACTGAGCCCGGAAAGGAGATAGCATGAGTGATGGTTGATTTCACCTTGTGGTATAAAATGAAGGACATGGTATTGGTTTTGAAATGTAGTCAGTATCTACAGGGAGCTGGGCAAATAGAGAGACTCCAAAAAGAATTAACCAATCAGGCAAAAATTGAGATCTCAGAAATCATTTCAAGGAAGGAGCTAGGAGCCACAGCTGATGCTCA